AAAAACGAAAAATTTTGCTATTCATCGACCAATGTCCAGCGCACCCATCGATACTAATTATTTTGGAAAATGTAAAAGCTCTCTTTTTTCCTGCAAATTGCACAAGTGCGCTTCAGCCATTAGATTTGGCCGTGATTAGAAATCTAAAATTGCATCTAGAAAACAGTAAGTTCAACTTGCTATTCAAAGCATTGTAGAGACTAATCGCAAGAAAATAAAATTAAAGGTAACATACATTCAAATTGCTCGCTGCAAGTTTTCTTTCTTGGTTATTTGTTTGTTTTGCTTTGTCTAATTTAAAAATTTACGTAAATCAACACGTTAAATATTAAAATTAACTGAAAACAGAGTTAGTTTCAGTTTTAGAAATGAAAATCGATTATACGACGTTATCGTTTATACGTCGTTTTTCGGTGGTCCCTACGGCGTCGTATAAACGATGCTCCACTGTATATATATATGCCTAAAGTTTGGTTGTAATTTACTTGTGTGGATGGTGTAAATTTGGCACATGCATGATATATTTTTTTTCCACGCTTTTTTACGATTTTTTACGCAAAGTGTTTAAGCAGAATCATTGGTAAAATTAAATTTATATGTAGATATAAGTGCAAAACTGATTCTTATAAGGAAGAAATACTCTTAATAACTTTTGAAATATAGGTTTTGTCAATTTTACTTAATTCTCATTTGATTCTGAGTCGAAAAAAAATACATAAGAAATAATTTCTCATTTGTTTAGTTCAGATGTATTAATAGTTATATACAGATATTGTATTATTTTATAGTGCATATTTACTTAATTCTTTATAACACCTGAACTATTAGTCCTATTGCCTTGATTTTGGTGTACTTCGTTCAATCATGAAAAATATACATTGAAACACTATCCTGCTTGTCTGTATAAAAATGTTTTAGTTTCACCCACTTTTGTTCATTTCTTCCTCAAATTCAAGATGTTGATTATACCTCATCTCAATGAAGGGAGCAAACTTCAGGTCCCGAACCACAAGTTTTAAAACAACTTCCAGCTCTCTTTTAATTATTTTCACATTTTTTATGACATGGAAACTGGCCTACTTTTTATATTCAGCATTTTATTGTCTTTATTTATTTATTTAGGATCAGAAGAACTTCAGAACTCAGTGCATGTCAGTCAACCAAGCAGTTCAAAAGGTATCATTCTGTGAATTCTTTTTTTTTAAATATGCAATTTTAAATGTTTTCGTCTCCTTATGTTGAATATTTATTCTTTTTTTTCTTCTTATTATTATTAACTGTTTTTTGTTTAAATGATTATAATATCATTTTGGTAAAGCTTTAATATTCTATATAAGATAACTTAGGTTATTGTACAAAAGGAAATTTGAATAATGTTATAATAAAGATGGTTTTATAAAGTTTTGATTTTGTCTAAAGATTGGAAAAACTATTCAATAATTAAAAAAAAATAGAAAAAAAGTGAGAAAGTTCCATCCTCTTTACACAATTTCTTTTTGATTGTATTAGAAGATAAATAATTTATGATAAACATGATAAGTTAAACAAAATTTTTATTTGATGAGTAAAGTATAGTATTCTAAATTAGATCATTCATAACCCCCAAGATATCAAAGAGCAACATCCTTTGTTCAAATCTTGTTCTTTCTTCATCTCTCAACACCCAAGTCTCATTCTTCTAGCATTCTTTTTTTTTTCTATCTGACAATCAACATAAACAATGTCCTCATTTGAGCTTTCACGTTGTCCTTACATATTTTGCTTGTTGATTAGGTAAGTGCTTTATTTACATTGCACAATGGGCATTCGGGGACGGTCTGGGAAACATCCCTGAGGATGATCCAAAGACATGCCACCACAATTTTGATCCACTGCAGAGGGGATGGCTCCCCTGCTTTGGGAAGTCGAGCACTTTAAGGTAGAACGAGAACCGATACCGCATGTCCCACCTGTTTACTGACCGCAGCCAGTGAAGCTTGACTTCGGTGTTCTACTAGGATCTACTTTACGATCAGTCCACTACGAGACATACATATTTTGCTTGTAATAAATTGTTTTAATTGTTTGCTTTGCCTTTAAATGCTATATACAAAAATATCCAGTGTCAGGGTTCCCATGGTAACTATTTATAACTTGTTTTGTTGTAATATAAATTTTTTTAAAAAGTTTTAGATTGTTGCACTATTATTTTTATTTCTTCAGAATAAGATTGCTACATAAAAATTTAAATTGATTCAATTAATAGATCAAAAACTTTTTGTTATTAATGTCTATTAGAATAAAATTCATATTTAGATTTTAATAATAATTTTATTCAGTTAACACTGCTATTAAATAAACCGTTTTTTTTTCTTAATTTTTTTATCCAATTTTTTGTTATTTTTAAATTAGTTCATGTTTTTCGCCAGATTGTTTAGTAATATGATGTAAAGTTAATTCCTAATAAAAGTTTTAGTTGGAAATAATTTTATGTAGAACTCATAAAAGTAAATATAACACATTAGTTGTTTAGTAATAATTTCAAAATGGGTAAGTTGCATACTATTTTCAAAATGTTTTTCATAAGATTTTTCAATATTCTTTTACAAAACGTTACTTGATAAGGGGATATTACAAGATTGCTTTGTTATAAAAGAATGACACTTTCTGTTTTAAATTGTTAATTTGCAATAAAAATAAAATATCAAATCATAATAATAGTAGAGAATAATATTAAGAATGACAGAGGATGATAGAGAAATATTACAAGTAAATATCTATATATGATGAAAAAATATATAATTTATTAGTATTTGTTAATTAAGGAACCTTATCAATTTTCTGGCCATAGGAATGTGTTAGTGCCTTTGAAAATTCATTTTATACCCTTTTATTTATATGTTTCACCGAGAACTAATTAAAAACATTTTGGTTTGAAAATTATAAATCATCTCAAACATAACTGTATTTTTATTCTATAAAAAATTTCATAAAAATATTTATTGCAATGAATTTTTAAAAAAAGGAATAAGTTAAACCCAATGAAAAAAAAGGGAATGATTTAAGGTGCTTAGATATTAGTATGGCCTGTTTTTACTTGAAGTAGGACTTAATTTAACATAACATAGTTAAGAAAACAATTCTCATGCATAACTTTAATTCAACTTTTTAGTATTAATTCTTTTACTATATACCCTTACAAATAAAACATTTTATTAATAGAAAAGAAGGAATTTGTTTTTGGCGTAACTGAATATTTAGCAGAAATTGACCCACAACTAAATATGTGATGCATGTCTAGTAGAGAAATATGAAATTTGTTTTTTTTAAATGTTAATCCCAAATTTCTTTATTCACTCTTTTTTTTTTTTTAATGCAGAAAAAAAATTGCTAATCTTAATTTTTGCACTTAATTTTACAACTTAATTTCTGTGAAATCATTAAAAATGAAATGCAGATTAGTTTCATAGATGCCGTTAACCCATAACACTATGAAAATACTTAGAAAAAACAAAAACAATACAGGTTTGCAAAAATTGCCTGGTCTTACTTTGGCAAGCCCTGTTAATTAATACAATTATATCAGTACTTGCATTATAATAAAATTGTTTTATTATTTTTTTATTTATTGACTTTCATTTTAAAGAAAGGTAAATAATTGGCTCTGTCACTGGTAGTATATGTATATTCGGTGATAAACAATCATACTATTTTAAAGGTCCTTAATTTTTCAAAAAAGTCCTTCATCTTTTCAAGGAATAGTTCTTAGAAGTCCTTAATTTTGGTTTTGTTAAAAGAGTGAGAACTCTGGTGTATTGTTTGCTTTTTTTTCTGTTGAATTTAAAAGCTTTTTTTTTACTTTTCGGAAAAGTATTAAATCTTAATAATAACATTGTTCAGATTTCAATTTGTACAATAACATATTTCTTTCTTATATCAGTGTTCTCATATTGTTCTTAAAATAATTAAAAAAAGTTATGGTAAAACTGTACATTTGAGTGTGTGTTCATTACCACCACCAATATTTTAATAACTTTCAAATAAATGTATCTAGATACGAAATTTGAAGATTAAATTTATGACCATATAAACCCTTTATATTTATTTAATTATGGAAAGTTAATTTATTATCTTAAACTGGGGTGCTTAACTTTTTTAAATGAAGGGCCACTTGCACAGCAGGTTGTGCATGCATATCTTAAACACTTGGTCTACTTTGTTAATACTTATTTTTATCATATATTGCTAAAACATTATTTCCAACTTCAGTCTGAAGTTTTGGTTTCTTTTACAGCTCTACAGTCCACATTGAGCAATGTTACTTAAAACCTTCCTGTTCTTAGCATTGTATTTACAATTTGTAATTTTTTATTTTATTTTTTTATGATAAAAGTTGGTTTAAAGTTTATTGTTTTTCATAGAATCGAAGAGTTTGTTGGGCCCCATTTTTATAGTTTGCCAGATATTACTTTTCTGCTCTCCTTTTATTTATGAATTAAATTGCTTAGATGTAATATAATTCATTATTATATAGGTAACTAAAAATGATGAAATAAGAGTAAAACCATATAGCAAGTTAATCAGAATTAAAAAAAAAAGCAAGTTACTCATTTAAGAAAAGTTAATCTATTCAGTGCAACTTTAAATTTATATAATTGATTTCGATAGCAATTAATAAAAAGATTAACAAAAATAACAAATCATTGCTTGATTGTTTTTTAAATCATGTACCTATTTTCTTTATCAACTTTTAAATATTAAGAAAATGCTTTTAAACTGGATATAAATGATAAATTTTGTATGAAAACTTTCTAAATACTCAATTTATTTTCATTATAACGTAGAAATTCGATAAATTCGATTTTTTTAAAATTATGCATCTATTTTTTTAATTACCTTTTCAACATTTACCCTCGTTGCATTACATTTTAACCCTGATTAAATATTAAAAAAATGCTTTTAACAGGATATAAATGATGTGTAGGAAAAATTTCTAAATACATAAATTATTTTTATTATGGTGGAGAAATTCGATATCTCGAAGAGTCGTTAGAAGCAATAAATACTTTTGAGTTCTCGAAAATTCATCTAAACAAAAATTTATTCAAATGTACTGGTTTGCATGAATATCAGGTTAACTAGTGTAGCTGGACTAATGTAGGTCAATCAAGAGTATTTCCTCTTAATATATTGCATATAATATGTACCAGGAACTTTTTTTTTCAGATTTGTGTGGCAACCCCGAATATTCATAAAAAATTCATAGAATATTCACTAAAAAGCTTTGACATAAATTCATGCAGGGTATCCCCTGTGTATTGCATTCATGTTTATTTTGTTCAAATTCAACTTACTTTTGTATTTAAGTATAATTCTCTAGGTTATTTTTTATCTACTGGTGGGATATTATTGAGAAAAAAAAAATGTGAGCAATAAATAAATATTTTTTTATAGGAGAAAATAATGCAGGTTGTAGCAGTAAGAATAAAGAGGAAGATACTATAAATGTAGTAGAAGATATGTTTATGAATCTTACGAAACATAGGAAGCTTGTGCAAAGCTTTAATCCTCTTAATGTGCCTGTCTGGACTCTTCTCAAAGAACAAGGCTACGTTCAAAATAAGTGTGATCTTACACCAAGAGTGCCTTTCTAAGAAGCATTTTGTTTTCATCTCATGGATTTTTTTTGTTGTTTTCATTGTTACATAACATCTGTGCATATTTTCACATAATGTCATAAAACTTGTTTTTTTTATTTTTTATTCTTGTAGCTCTTAATGTTGTGTATATTATGTTTTCAATATATTTCTCTGATTATAGTTAAAGTAAATAAAAAAAAAATTCACACCAACTGTAGATCATTTTAATAATGTTTTGGGTTTTCATGAGTTGGAAGAAGTTAGGATGTTCATTTACAATACTCACCAGATGGAGGAAACAAAATAGTTTTAACTTTCATGTCTGAAATAATCTCAGGCGCAGCACTGTGTTCTAAAATGTCATGTCCGAGTATTTACTCATGGTAAATTTTTTTTTAGTGCATTATGTTGTTATAACCGAATATGTATCGTGAGTAGTTTATTTTGGTTTCATCTCTTTGGTCATAACTGAATCTATTTCAGGAAAAGTTAATATAGATGTATGTTATTTAAAACAATTGATGGCAGCATTCTACTGAAGGTTTTAAAGGATAGATGTTTATGTTTAAAGTGTTGCAAAATGGCGTCCAGTTATTTGAAACTTTAGTTGATTTATTTTTTTAGAAAATAAATTTGTTCTTTGAAACGTTATAAAGATAATTTATTTTTTTGGAAAATAAATTAATGTTTTGAAAATAATGCTCTACTAGAAGCGAACTTTAGCACTGCCACACTGAATGGCATCTGCTTCAAGCGAATATGCAGTGGCAACAAAACCTTAAATTTTTTATGCATTTCATTCAAAATACCAATTTTTAGTTACTAAGTATATTTTATTTTGTACTAAACGTTTGATTTTTGAAATTTAAAAAAATTGACAATTTACGTATCCAAATCCTCAAAATAATTTGACAGTTAAAAGATTAAAAAATAAAACGCAAAGTTGCCAACAAACTAGACCTTGCCCTTGGCTACCTAAAGCAAAGGGCTTTAAATTTAGTTCAAAGAAGCAAAATAACTAGTCAAGAATTTGTTAAATTAAAAAATTTATTGCCACACATAGTTAGACATTTTTTTCCGTTTTATTTTTAAAATAATACTAAATACACACTCACTATTAAGACCTGTGAGTTTCTTCCGTGCCAGGTACAGTGGGGAAAACAAGAAAGAAACCACCCTGAATAACTTCAGTTCCAATAATCAGATTTTCACATACTAAAAACCAATCTTAATGATTCAAAAGGTTGGCCGCAAATGTGCTAATTAATTAATGCTAGCTATTAATTGAAAATATCAAACACAAAAACGTACTTCTTTTTACAACAGATTTGGCTTTTTGATTTTTAAAATTATAGGGGAGCCTACTACTAGCTAGAATCTGGAAGTATGGTTCCAGTGCTCAGTTTGAACCTCTTTATGTTAATTTCGTTTTTCGCTCTTGGTATTTTTAAACAAATTAATTTATTAAACGAATTTTAAAAAAAAATTTCCCATAATTATAAATTTGTCTTTTTCACAAATAACTCCATTCAAAAAATAATTTTTAGCAATTTTATTTACTATATCGATCGAGAAACCATTTGAATTGCTTGCAAATTTTTACCCCATTTTAATCTTAAGTAATTTTAAATGGTAAACTTAGAACGAAATGGGCTGAATAGTTCTTCAGAAATAGAATTTTAATACTTTACAATCCTATATTTTTTCAAATATCATACACTTTATTTATTTTTGCCCTTTTTGAACAAAATAGTAGAAAGTCATAAAAATTATTTTTTTTAGTGATCTAACTGGATTTTTAGTTGTGTGTCAATAATTTTTCGCTTTAAAATTTCCCTAGTTTCAATTAAATATGCAAAAATTTGAAAATAGGGTCTTAAGCCTTCATCAGTTCTCCTGCCAAAATTATGTGGACCCTATTTTGATGGTTAAAAATCCAAGTTTGTTGGGGAAAAAAGCGTATTTTTTCAATAAAGCATGTTTTTGTATCTTTCTGTTACTTAATAGTTATAATTAATTAATTCCCATAAAGGTCACCCTTTTGAAGTTAGTGAAAGTGATAGTTAGTGATAGACAGTTAGTGAAATTTCGATCACCAGAATAAAGTTATTATGAGTTTATATTTTATGCACTTTGCATTGTCATGAAATAAAAATTTATGTTTGGTTTTACAATAGCTTAAATTTTCTCCCAGAAATATTAGTTAAAAAGAAAGAAAGAAAAAATATTCAACTTTAGAAATTAAATCTGAAATTGTTTATTCATCTTGAACTACAGATTTTATTCTATAAGTAACGAATACAGTAAATGACACGACATCGGTTGTATTATTTATAAAAAACTAAAAATTTGTTTATTGGTCTGTAGCCAGAAAAAAATTCTCTTTTCTTTCATCTAAATTTTGGCAGCAGTTAAATTTTATGAAAGTTAAGTTTCTGAATTCCTAAGGTTTTCTGAAAATCGCTTAATATTTAAAATTTCTGCTGTAAAATGTTGCCAAAAAAAAAAAAACGTGGCATTTAGGGTTATTAAAAATGGAATACTTCTCAAAACAATGTAGGGTGTTTTATTGTTGAACCACATTATGAGCATTGTTTGGCCACTTTTGAACGTGCAGTTCCCTGTTTGATCATTAGATTAGGCTGCCCAGATCTTGCGATTTAACAGAAATTCTTTTTATTTTTTAGAATTCTTAAAATATAGGACTAATACCCTTTTTTGAAGGAGGATATTTAAAGCCATATCAAAGAGATTTTTTTTAAAAATTGGCCCTTCAAAAATGACATCAAAGTGCTATTCTATACTTAAGAATCAATAAAAACTTTTAATTTAATTTTTATCAAGATCAGTTTGTTGCGGACTCATTATAAAAAAACAATATTTTAGAAATCATATGTTTCAAATAGGACTAAGACATCAAGACAATTTCAATTAGACTAAGGCATCAAAAGAATGTTTTTCTCATCATTTTTCAGTCACATAATTGCATATAAAATTTCTCTGTTATTTAAAGAACTTCTTTTTAAATACACATGCTTGTCTTCTAAGGTCTGATTTTAAATGTGGGCATCTTGAATCATTTTAATGTATATTCTTTTTTTTTTTTAATTTTTTTACAAAATACCATTTTTTCCCTATATTTTCTGTTAATAAAATTTACCAAGATGTTGCCTTTTTCTCTTGCTGCAGATGGATTAAAATACATGATAAACACATCTCATATGAATAATAATACATTTTTTTCGCCAGTATTAGTGCACAAATCTACGAGTTTTGTCTTCTGAATAAGATAGTATTTAAAAAATGGTTCTAAGTTTGTTCCAATTGCTTGAATGATGTTCTTCTAGGGGAGGGTCTTGGAATGAAAGAGACTGTACGACTTCTAAGTCTAGTGGAGAAACGTCGAACTGTCTCGTTCTTAGTACAGAGAAGGGTGGCAGCGCACATTATGATGAGGAGAAATACGATCACCACACCTAGAACAATCAGAACACTCGAGCCTCGACCAGTCCTGCCTACAAATAATTAGAATTCCATACATTAGATTAAAAATGTTTTGAGTACGGTTAATAAATATCGAATCAGAGTTTTTTATAGCATTTATTTAGTAGTACTTTATGCTATGTCGCACTAGAGCTGCACAAGGCCCTGATCCGAAGTGACATGACTCTCCCGCTGTAGTAGCTCCATAACCCAGCTTACGAAATCAAGCATTTTCATCGCGAAGAACGAGATAACTCGTATTCCAGAAATATTCGTTGTGCTCTATGGGTTATGGTGAATATGGTTATTTTTTAAAGTAAAATAAACGAGTTCCGAAGGGCAGTTGCAAAAGTTAAAAGAGAACCGATACCACGCACACTCTGTCCCTTTACAGGCTGATCAAAGTGGTCAGTTTTACTTGATTTCGGTCATCAATTAGAAACTGTTTCCTTATGATCAGTCCACTTTGACATACATGGTGATTGATATGGGGGCTCAACATTTTCCTTTATAGATGGTTAGACTAAATGTAAACAATAACAAGCTTCCTAAAACCGGAAGAGATATAGAAAACTTCCGGTGTATCCCTCCGCTTATGTTATGCTAAAGAGGCGATGCGTGAACAGGCTGTTCTATAAATTTGCTCGTCAAGTTCCCTTTCTTGGCTATATTTGATTAAAACATCACTGTTAGTTATTTTTGAGGGGGTGTATCTACTGTCTTCCAAGTTCTTATGTTGTTCGTTTCGTTGAAATTTAAAAAATAATTATAGTGTAACAAGAAGTATAAAAATATTAGAAGGCATCCTTTTTCAAGTTTAGGCTTAAAAATAAATCGGAAGTAGTAACCCGAAAGCATGTCTTACGACGCTTTTGAACTATTAAGATGGAGTCCCCTAATTGAATACATTCGATCAAAAGTTATTGAGGTGCAGGGACTGATCAAGACAAATCCAGGCCCACCGGGCCCCTTTCAAAATATTTTGAAATTAAATTTCTGAAGAGTAGTCCTAACAATAAAAATAATCTATTGAACATGCATGATTTAAGAGAAATATTCTAAGAAAAATTGAAAGCAGACAGTTGAAGATTATTTTTCTATGATGAAGTTTACGCATCTAAATATTAAAGCAAAATATAAAACAACAAAACAATGTTAAGTCAAAATAAAAATAGTTTGCTAACCACAAACAATTGAAATCAATGATTTTTGCTAAAAGTCACTGACTAGCTGAATTATTTTAAATATTTGTTAAGAATAAGCTTTTTAGTTCTTGTTGACACTAATTATTGATAAGAGACTTTGCGAATATGCATCCTCGTTGCAGTTGCTTAAGCCGTTGGAGAAAAAATTGCACCCATTAAAATTCAGCTGTACTTTCAAATTTGATTAGTGCAATGTTGAAACGAGTTTGGTTTATCACACTATAAAGAAAATTTGAAATAAAAAAATGCCTTTTTTGAGATAAACTGTTTCAGTATTTTTTTTAAAAGTAATATTGTGGACTATTTACTAATTTTTTGAGGCCCCCAGAAAGTGTGGGCCCGTGCTTATTGGGCCTAGGCTATCATCAGACCCTGTATGAAGTGTACTTTTTTATGTGCACTGTACAAATGAAATAATGATTTAGTGACACCTTTATTGATTGAAAACGTGTATTTTGGCAGAAATTTTTCAGAATGCCCTTCTTTCTTTCCGGAAGATTCAAGCATTTCTTTCTCTGTTCATCCGTCCAATATCGCCATACATTACAAAAAAAAAAGTAGCATGCATTGAAATAAAATACGCTCTCAGTTTATTTAGGTCTTAAAAAGTATCTTCAAATCAGATATAGGAGTTGAATCAAATATATTTATTATTATCGCCATTCCTGACAATAAAAATCTTAGTAAAGAACAAAAACGATTCTCGAAATCTGGTGAATCAAGATTAATCCCATTGAAAATGGCATTAAACAACCTATTTATTTGTAATGATAGCGAAAGGCAAGAATCCGAGAACAATTTAAATAATCTTTCTGTATTCGTCGATCATTTCTAATTCAAGGAATATATATATAGGTTGAAAAATAGTGTGATTTCAGAGCACTCTTTCTTCGATGATTGATTATAAAAATCACTCTTGTCAAACGTCAGAAGGATTCTTTCTTTTTGTAATGATGCGCGAGTGGAATTAAAAAATGATTTCAGATGGATATATATTTGTGAATAATTAATGTAATCGAGCATGTGTTTTTGACTGGGTGCATTATAAGAATGGCATTATTTGTGCTAATTTCCTCACGCACACTCTTTTTTTACCTGCACTTACTTATATTCTTTGTGAATGCCATCTCAAGATGATGCGATTTTTCCACTCCTTTCCACCTTTCTCCGTCACCATGGTTTCGTAAAATTTTTCTCTCTTACGGCAGTAAACAGTTTAAAGATGGAACCGTGCAAGTAGCACTGATGATTAAAATTCGTAATGAAACTTCAGTTATCTTAGTTTCCACTTCCGCCGATTCATTTTTACGTCCAAACTTAAAGACCATTCAATTTTTTGTTATTGTACTTGAACTATTTACAAAATGATGGACGCCATTCAATTTGTAATACCATTGAAATGAGAACAAAGAAAAAACAACACTTACCTTAAATCGGTATATAGCTAACGATGTTCCTAAAAATCTTATGAGGGGTCTATAAGTGCAAATTTAAACTGTATTAAAGCCTGTTCACACATCGCCTCGTAAACACATATGCGGAGGGTTACACAGAAAGTTTCCAATATTCGAAGGATACACTCATTTCTTACTGTGTCTTATTGGAGGAAAGATTATCCGAAACCATGGTAATAGAGAAGGGAAAAGTGGAAATCACACAATCTTATTCTACTGACAAAGAGGAGTGCAACGTCATAAGAATTATATATTTTTTTTTACCACAATTAGAATGTCCGTATGGGTCTTCGTCACTGAGGTCACCGCAATTGTTGTGTCCATCACACGTTAGTCCAGACCAAATGCAGATATTTTTATCACATGAAAACAGATCAGTCGTATTATGAGAGCAGGGACCGCTTCTTCCGTCATCTGAAAAGTGTTTGCAGATTGATATTCAAATTATGACATGCCATTACAAGTCCATATTGATCTATTTTCACCACACCATAGCCTCTGACAGAGAGTGAAAGATAAAGAAGAAGTAAAAATCACCTTTCTGAAAAGCAGTGAATGTGATTGTGAAACCTGGATATCCAGACAGTGTTTTGTTATTCATCCCTTCTGTATGGTATATCAGATTCATTTTATTGTTGGAAGACGGATAATGTCTCTCCTCATCTTCGCTGTAGATTGGTTCACAGACACGTTCATTCTCTATCTGTTAACGGAAAAAAGAATATTCTTTATTTTCAAATCTTTATAAAAGACACTCTTATGCACATTAAGAGTTAAAAAGAAAAGCACTGAAATGTAAAATAGTTAGTAGGTGAAGTAAAATAATTACTGAATTAGTTTTCTTTGGTTTATCCAATAACAGTCATAAGACTTGCTGTTACGTTTCATAGAGTCATTAAAAAAATAACAGTGGTAAAAAAAAATCATTTTAAGTGAGTTTCTTAGCGACGTAAGAAATCATAACACGCCACGAGTGCTGTATTCAATAAAACTTTCCGAATTCTTTATAAAATATATTTCCAAGCTTATGGATAAGAGGATTTAAACAAACAAAAAACAAGCAGAATACTTTAATAACTAATATGCAATTTCATGGTAATAACACATTCGCAAATATTTCGAAGTATTAATATGATATTAATTTATTCGTTGATATATTTATTCGATATCTGCCGAGGATAGATTAGGTGAAATATCAGTTAAATGCATAATGGGCAATATCACTTCACCTAAAAAATCATTGATGTAGGGCATACCGGGCAAATGTACAAAGGGCAGTGGCATTTAACTACACTTACTACATGTTTCTGACATTTACCAAAGCGACTATGTGATTGTGAACATTCATCAGTGTAAGTCAACAACCACCAAATATATATAT